CTCCGAAGCCTTTGTCTCGGGCTAAATTTAGAAACAAAAAAAAAAGTATAGAAAGTGTCAAAAAATGTTCAAAATAGTTGCAAATAGTCATCGCACTATATTTATTTCTATATAATTATTATGCGTTTTGTGTTTGAGAATAAAAAGCGTTTTGCACTAAAAAGACAATTTAAATTTAACATTTTTTGAATTATAAAAAACTTGTTGACGGAGAAAATGAATTTTTCTCCACTTGAGAACGCCAAGGTCACCACCAGATGTCAGGAGAAATTCCAAGAGAGCAAACTGCCATTTTGCGGTGACCTTGGCGTTCTCAGGTAGAGAATAGCAGCTCCATATTGAATTTCAAGATATTCGAATAAATATTCGCTTTTTGGGCAGAAAAAATGTCATTTGTAACTTATTTATTAAAATAGTAGCTAAATACTATTATTTATATCATATTTGTATAATTTATTTATTCATTTATTTCAGTGTCTTCTGAAATTTTTTTTCGGCTTCTTTTGCAAGCGTCCTCAGAAGGCACTCGCGGAATCCTTTCTCAAGGACTTGAATGCTCCTTCGTTTGAAAAAATAAAAGATATAGGAAACGCGTATGGGAGCTTTAAGGTACACTCTCACCTCACTGCCTGCCTGCCTGCGCAGGCAGGCGCCATAAGAGTGAGAGAGAAAAAACATTTAATTTGAATTTTCTGACTCTCTTACTCTTATGTGTTACCATGTCAACCTGCAGGCAGGCAGGCAGTAGGAGCTGTGCTAGCGCCTTTAGCCATATATTATATGTATATAAGTTGTGAACGCGTGCGACTCTTTGAGTCGAAAGTTAAAATCGTTGCACAACAATTTTACCTCTATACCGCGCTACTGGTTGCAATATCGCAATATCCTTGTCTCTACTATAATGTGCTATACTGTTTTAAACACGAGGTGCTTGTACTCGAGAGCACTCTCGTTTACTAAACGCGGTCGACATTCGAATCCATAAAAGTTTGTTTTTCTCTCCCTGTCTCTCTCACTGTCTTACTGACTACTATATGTATATATATATATATATATAAAGAAAATAGTCTAGAACAACGGAAATAAAAATTAATTTTTTATCATAAAAATAACTTTTATATTCTCGATCGATTTTGATTAGAAATCCTGCGAATTTTATGGTTTGATTTCTTTTTCTTTTGCATTTAAATTTGCAATATCGTTAATTGTACTATTCCTTTTTTTTATTTTTTTTTACTTTGTGAATTATCTTTCAAATTAGTTCTGATAAAGTTGATATTGTAATTGGTATAAAAGGAATTCAAGAACACTGATAAAATTCGAAATTGTTTAAAATTAAAACAACTTTAAATATAGAGAAGGAAAAAAAATATAATTATAAATAAAATATTCTGATTATAAATAAGGCGAAGATAAACAAAATTAAAAGAAAGAAAATTAAAATAATAATATCAATTTGAATTTATCACTCGGTGTTATTTAATAATAATGATGACTTTATCGATCACTCCGAGTCATTTAAAATAATGAAAAAAAATTAAGAGAAAAAAAAATTTTTTTTTTTTTTTCTTAACGTTTCAACGGCACAGCCGTCCTCTTCAGAAACATTGAAAAAAAATATAAATAAAAATTTGGACATTATTAAACAATTTGTCGATTGTTAAAACGTCTCGCTTGACACGATTGCTAATAGTTAATTATTAATTTTTTTTAAATAGCGTTATCAATTTAATGGGAAGAAAAAATATTTTTCGAAAAGAAAGAAAATATTTACTATGTCGAAATTTTTAACAAAAATTATTTTTTACGGTTAAAAATAATCAAACAAAAAAATTAAATAGTTAGACCCTACTAAAAATCCCTGTATAAGATCTTGTACAAGAAAATGCACACGTTCAGCAGCTGAACTTGTACAAGTTCTGGTTAGAAAATGTACAATTTCTTGTACCAGGATTTGGAACAAGTTCTTGTATTAGAACTTGTACAAGAAAATAAACTTGCACATGAACCCGTACAAGATTTTGTACAAGATCTTGTACGGGTTCATGTGCAAGTTTATTTTCTTGTACAAGTTCTAATACAAGAACTTGTTCCAAATCCTGGTACAAGAAATTGTACATGTTCTTACCAGAACTTGTACAAGTTCAGCTGCTGAACGTGTGCATTTTCTTGTACAAGATCTTATACAGGGATTTTTAGTAGGGGAAAATACCAAATTTGAAAACAATGCGAAAAGATAATTAAAAAATGATAATAATTATGATTTAATAAAAAATTAGTGAATAAAAATAAAAAAATTACGATGGTTACCATTAAATAAACAATAGGGAACATTATTGTAAATTTTCGAAAAGCATAATTTGAAAAATATTAATGAAGCATTTCGTGCGAGTAAATTTTATAGTCTTATCAAAACAAGAACATAAAATCATGTTGTAAATTGATATACATTTTCGTATGTATGTATATATTTATAAAAAGTGGGAAAAATTAATTGAAAATCAAATCGCAAAAAATGGAAATTGCTTTACTCGACTGTAGCCAAGGCTGACTTCACTTGAAACTCTCCTCTCATACACATTCAAATGTGTACCTTAAGAGTGTCAAGTTAAGTTTATAAATTGCGAGAAAAATGTCATTTGTTGAAAAGTGAAAAAATAATAATTATTATTGTTGAAAGTATTAATAACTTTATCGTCGATAATTCATTATTAAAAGTTTTGTTAATTTATACAAATTAGTAAAGTTTATTTAAATTAGAAAAATTTATTCAAATTAGTAAAATTTATTCAAATTAGTAAAATTTATTCAAATTAGTAAAATTTATTCAAATTAGTAAAATTTATTCAAATTAATAAATCTATACAAATTAGTAAATTTATACAAATTAGTATAAGTACAAAGGAATTTAGATAAATACAAAATATTCGGTTTAAATTATTTAAATAATATCGAGAAAAAAATTTAAAAATAAAAAATAAAATTACACAAAAAATTTAAATTCTCTTTAAAAACTGAATGAACGAAAAATTTTATTATAAATCAAATTTTTGATACTTTCGCTATGGGAGAAAGAAAAATAATAACCAATTTTCTTATCTTTTCAATATTATATTTATGAAGGAAGTAATAAACTGGTAAGAAAAATTTTTACTTGTCCATTGAGCTGTAGACGATTAATACAAATAAATTTTTTTTGTCAAGCACAAGAAAAGGAAGCTTATGCAAGACATATAAATATGAAAATAAATGTTTGGTGCTTTATCAAAAAATTGAGTGCCTCTCGCTTTCTTCTGGACACTTTTTGTTTCACACAAGTTTATAAAAAAAATATAATTTTCAACTTTTCATATTATAATTTTGGACCAACAAAAATAAAATTCGCTTCTTTCTTCTATTTTGAATTTTTCTTAAACACCTATACAAATTTTAAATATCAGAATACTTTTGTCTATTTACGTTTCAATAGACACACACACACATTTGTAAATATAGAAAAAAAAATGTTTTATGATGTATGAGAAATCACGATTTCATGCGGTGAAAAAAATTCTTTTTAAAAATATTTTATTGTTTCTTTTTATATTTATTACGTTAAGTGACGTTTATACAATATTTTTTTTTCTTTTTGTTGAATCGAAATAATCTTTGGACACATAATTTTTCTGAGAATTATGTAAAATTTATATAAGTTTAATAATATAGAATATATGATTTAATTTATTTTGCTTTTATTTATTGTAATTAAGGAAATAATTTTTCTGGTGAATAATATAGAAAAAAGAAAATTAAAAAAAAACTATTATTTACAATCCTAATACAAAAATATTTTTTATTGTCACTTATTAATAATTAATTTATTTTTTGTTTTTTAATAAGATAGTACAATTTTGACACAAAAAAATTGTGTTACACCAAATTTATTTGGTGTTAATAATCTGTAGGATTTTTTTGATTTGGAAAACGATTTTGCAAATTGTCAAGAAATTATTTTCCTTTCTAACATTTATTGCTGTTAGATTTTTTTGCTTTAAATTCTTCCCTGTGTGGAGGAAATTATTGTTTTTGCAAAAAAATGAATACCTATAAATTAATAAATTATTAACTAATTAGTTTTAATTGGTAAATAATTTACTTTTAGTTTTTAAATGAATTGATAAAAAAATGAAAATAAATATTTTTTTCAATTACAAATTGAAATTTAGTTATGTCAACTACATTAAAATTCATTATCTTTGCGCAACAAAAATTTCAGTTGTTTTCATTGAACGTTGAAAAGGGCAAAGTAAATGTTGTTTTTGATATATTCAAAAAATTTATTGTCAATTTTTTTTTTTAACAATTTGGTTGACAAAATCAAATTTTTTTTCTGGTGTTGTTTACTGGTTGAGTAAAAATGTTTAGCTTAAAATAATTTGGTTTAAAATACGAAATAATTTTGTTGGAAAAACCTAATAATTTCGTTTGAAACATAAATAATTTCGTTAAAAAACCAAATAATTTCGTTGTCGTCTTTTTATTGTCGTGTGGAAAATTTATTTAAAAACAAAATTTTTATTGCAGCTAAAAAAAATTTCCCAAAGTAAATTTGGATTAAAAAAACCGAATAATTTCTTTAAAAATTTTAATACAAATTTCGTGAAAAACCCAAATTCGTTAAAAATCCAAATAATTTCGATAAAAATCCAAATTCGTTAAAAGACCAAATGATTTCGTTGAAAATACAAATAATTTGGTTACAAGAACGAAATATTTTTTTTCCACCTAAATCAAATGGTTGTAAACAATTTTCGTTTTCAGCGTCGTCGAAAAATTTATTCTACAAACAAAATTTTGTTTTGACAAACCAAACAAAAAATCTTTGTTTTGGTTTATTTTGCCCAAAAAAACATTATTGCACATCTATTAATCAAATCGTTGTTTTCTTTTACGTTTTCTTTCCGATATTAGTTTTCGTTTTCAGATTTTCGTTCCAGATAAAAAATGAGAGGAGAACTCACTTTATCAGGATCCTCCAGAAGCAGCCAAAGCTGGAGCCATTTGGCACTTCGCTGGCGTACGATATAGTCATTTCCGGTCCGACCGGGAAATTGGAGCACACCTAGTTTCCTTCCCCCCCTCCCCTAAAAAAGAGGTACCACCGAAACTTCCGGTCACCTCTTCACAATATTTCCGTTTTTTTAAATTTTTTAAACGGAAAACAAAAAAAAAATTTTGAGCACTCGCGCACAAAGCGGCGCGCGAGCCGCGCTCAAATTTTCAGTTTATTCCGTCGTTTAGAGGGTTGCGTTTCTTTTTCCGAATTTTTTTTCCCTACAAATATTTTAATCCGAAGGATATCGCGTCAGTAGATCTAACATTGGGACTAGACTATTTTTTTTTTAAATTGGTGGACAGAACCAGCTGACCAAAGAGACGACCGAATGTCTACTGTTTAAGTTTACCTGGCGAACGTCAGGACTTAGCGGAGAACGGGCCCGAGTGTGCCACCACTACCTGGGGACCAGGTGCGTGTCATTTAGGTGGGAAAAACCCGATTTAAAAGTTGTTTCGTTTTTTGTGTGTGTGATGATTTTCTTGTTTTTTCTCTTATTAAAGAAGTATAAATAATTTTTCGCTGCGCGCAAAAAATAGGAAATATATTTTTTTATTTACTGAAGAAATTATCGTAGAGAAGATATTTTTTTTTAAAACCCTTTATTGTATGGGAAATTATTTTTGCCGCGAGGGATTTAATCGACAGGGAAATGTGTGAACGCACCTTAAGAGGGTGGACGACACCCTTAAGACTGACGATTGAGTAGAAAAAATTCCAGTCATAATGATTCACGATTTTATTATTAAAAATTAATTGTTAAAAAATTTGTATTACAACTTATTTTGCTTTTAACAATTTTATTAACAAAAAAAATATGTTAATGAAAAGAATAATAATTATTAATGGTAATTTAATTTACAAATTACAACTCTGTGGTATTTAAAAAAAACTATTGAATTAAATCTTTTAAGGCCTCGTAAAAAATTTAATTCATCAATAATAATTATTATAATTATAGTAATTAATATGATTAATAATAATTAAGGAAATTCTCATATAAATATGATTTATAAAAATCAGTACGGCACTGGATTTGGTTTGCAGATTGCATACCTAATCGCTTGGGAATGAAAAAAAGCATTTTGATGTTAAATTCTCGATTTAACGAAGTGACATCTGGCAACGGATTTTAAAGGCTTTGATTCACCTTCGTTGTGGCCTAGCCTCAGGCAAAAATTACAATGTCCTTCCTGGGTACCATCATCATCAATCTACCATCTCTGCACCTTTCCCCAAAGGTCACTTATAACATTTCCCTCATTCTTCTCCTTATTATAATAAAAAAAATATCAATTTCTCATCGGCAATTAGAAAATTCACTCATTTTCCCTTATTTTTATACCAATAAAATTTTACTCTTTTTCAATTTTTATTTTTTATAATAGTTACAAACAAAAAAATAAGATTTTGAACAAAAAAAATTTTTCAAGTTAAAAAATTAAAATCAAAATTTTTTTTTAAATTTTTGCTTCAGAAAATTCGAATTTTTGAAAAAATTTTCTCTGATTTTAATTGTTTCTACTCTCTAAATCTGAATTAGTAATTTTCTACAAATTAAATAGTGCGGATTCGTTTACCAATTGAATTAGTAACAGTTTTTACTAATCTTTAGTAATTTTCAAAGAATGAAAGTTTTAGTTTTCTTTCTTTAGTTTCTTTCTTTAGTTTAAAAAAAAATTTTTTTTTTTATAAACAAATTAATTTTTTTAACTTTGGGCCGGATTTTTTTTTATTTTTTTAAAATTTATATATACCTTATAATATAGAGAAGATTTTTCAAAAAGTAAAAAATACGTATCTGTTTTTTTTCGATACAGAATAGAAAAAAAATTTATTTTTGGCCGATTTTAAGAGGTCGACTTAAATCTCACGTGGAATTGTCCATATATATTATATATCACTGGATGTACGAATGTTTAAATTTTTTAATAATTGTTAATAATTTTATACTAGCAATTAGTAAAAAACTACTAAAGATTAGTAAAAACTGTTACTAATTCAAATTGGTAAACGAATCCGCACTAATTCGCAGATTTAGAGAGTACTATTGCAGTTTTTCTATATAAAAAAATATTTCTAAAATTTTTTATTGGAATATATTTGAATTATTTCACAGTGAAATTATATTGGCACTATTCTAAAATATTTGGTAATGAATTAATAATACTTCATTAATTGGTAGATTTTAATTTCATATTTTTATGGAATATTTTTTGCAAAATTCCAAGAGACTTTAATAATTTTAATATTTTTGAAATTGAAAATATTTTTGATTGAAAAAACAAATGAAATATTTTCTTAATTAAGTAATATTAAATATCAATTACTATTTATTATTATTTACTTATTATAAACTAATATTATAAATATTATAAACAAATAAATTATTATTGTTAAATAATTTTTTTTTATAATTATTATTTTATAATACAATTATACAATTATAATTATTAACACAATTAAATAAATGATTTTCATATTTTTTTAACTAAAAATATTAATTATTAATTACCCTAATTATTTTTTATTATTATTACCTACTAATTAATTATTAATATTAATTATTATTAATATAAATTTTAATATTTTTAAAAGTCTGAAGGAATTTGTGAATTATAAATTTTTCTGAGTAAGCGATATTTATTTTTTAGTTATTATTAATTATTATTTATGAATTGTTACAAATTGCTAATTATTATTAAATACTAATAGGTACTAAATTTTATCAATTATAATATAAATTTTTATTCTTTAAAAATATTGCTGGATTAAATAATTAGAATAGTTTTCTAATTAAGTAATATTAGTTATTAATCACTATTAATTACCATAATTTATTAATATTATTTACTAATTATTAATTGTTATTAATTATCTTATAAATTTTAATATTTTTTAACTACTGCTAAAAAAATTAAATAAATATTTTTCTGATTAAATAGTAATAATTAAATATTTTATTAATTACTGATTGTTATAAAATACTAGTTATTTTTAAGTACCTACTAATTATTATTATTTAGTACCTACCAATTAATTTTAACTGTAGATTGTTTTTAATCGTTATACAAAATTTCCAAATAAATTTTATTTTTTGAAATTTCAAAAAATCGCGGGTAACCATTTTTTTGAAATTTGTGATACTACGTGAGACATGTGCACGACGATGCGCAACATGCGCAAAAATCAGCTGATCAGCGTTGTTGTGTTGTGTCAGTTTCTAGTTTCATCAGTTTACTTTTGATTGTCAAAATGGTAAGTGGCTAGATGTGTGACTATTTTAATCCAGAAACATCGAATATATTTTAATTAATTTTCCATTATTAAATACGTAAGTAGAAAGAAATGAATTTATATTTTTTAATTAACATTTTATTTTTGTTCATAGGGTATTGATATTAATCATAAGCATGATCGCAAGGTGCGACGAATCGAGCCAAAGTCACAAGATGTTTATTTACGTCTTCTTGTCAAGGTATTGTTTTTTTAAATTTCTCTCATTTTTTTCAATTATTTGGTTTCAATTGTTTTTTAATAAGAGAGTTTTAATAGTGATTTAAATTTGGAGGTGGTATTTGTTTTTTTCTTTTCTACTTTAGGTAACATAACCTCAAAGATAGGATTTGAGGTTAGACTTTAGCATTCTAGTATATTTTTTCCATGAATAAAATAAATTTCTTTAATTTTACACTTTTATTGTAGGGGAGACTGGGGCGAAAGGTTAAATTGTGAAAACAATTAAAATTCATTATCTTTCGAACGGAAATAGTTAGAGCATTGCAATTTTAATTATAGAAGGGTGTTATCACTCTAAATAAATGTCCGGAGTTATGTGACATTCTGTTCATTTTTGTGGTGTTCATATTTAAAGTTTGTTTTCACCCTACTTTTGAAAATTTTTTCGTAAAAGAAAATACCAACTTTTAAGTATATTTTTTGAATTTATTCTCATCGCGATTTTTTAGGTCCTTATTTGGGTCTCCTGAAGGGATACCTAAAGGTATTTGCTGAATATCTTTAGTCAGATTTTGTATATTTGTTGTTAAAGCCAAAAATGCACCCTGGGGCGAAAAGTTAAATGTATTTTTACATGTTGTTAAAAATGTTTTTACATTTTTCGTTTTTTTGGGTTCATTTGTTTAAAAATTATTTATTTGACATTGGGCAACTACTTACTCTGTCAAAAAACAAGACTGTTCACGTGAAATAAACCAAAAAAATTTTTTTTTTTGAAATTTCAATTTATTAACTTTATAACTATTCTAAAGCTTTTGTTAAATAAACTTTCGCCCCAGTCTCCCCTACTAATTTTTTTGTTTTTACTATTATTTCAATTTAATATTTTTTCAATCAGTTACTATTTTAAGCAGTTTAAATTTTTTTTTTTAATTTAATTAAATTAAATTAAAAAAAAACAAATAAAACATAACAATCAGAAAAATTTAACTAGAACCTAAATTAAATAAATTTGGAACTAAAATTTATTTTCTATAAGTTTTGTTAGTTTTTGTATTTTATTTTCAAAAATCATTAACTTAATTCAATTATTAGCGAACTGCACTCTGTCTCAATCTAATTAATTAAGAGATTGATCCAATTTGAAGGTTCGCTACAGAAAAATATCAACTTTCATATTCTGGCTTTTGTTTTTTTCCTCAAAAGTCAATTATACTAGTTGATACAAATTATGAAAGTTTAAGTTAAATTCCAACTAATTTTAGCGTCAATTTAAATTTTCATTTACACTAAATTTAAATTGAATTCCCACTAAATTTAAATTAAATTCAAACTGAATTATAATTAAATATTTATTTTAGATTTAGTTATTATTTTATTATTAGGGGAGGGTGGTCCCATACCGACCCCCTTATGTTTCTTGAAGATGGTACCACTAAAAAATTCGCCAGTACCATCAGTCGAACACTTTCACAACACCAACAACTGGGCCACAGGTTTTATCAATGCGTTTGATTTCATTTTAAAGATTCAAGCAATATTTGATTTTAGCATTGTTTAAATTAATTTTTGACCTATACGGAATTCGAGCTAACAGTGTTTTTTGAATACAGGAAAATTTTTACGAAATTAATTTTGATTGTGTATGACCTTAACTTCAACGCACAACATTCAAATTAAATTGACTCCATTGATATAAGTGATTGGCAAAACATTTTGTGAAAATAGTGGGGGTGGTCCGAAACCGACCCCCATATTTTTACATTGTAATTGTTTATTCTCTTCTTCCTTATTGTTCACATGAAGTGAGGATAGGTTTTGCATATTTACTTTTATTTTTTAGGAATTTATAAAATATTTTACTAACAATCACAGCACTTATTACTTAACTTTAATTCTCTTTTGGTTAAATATTTTATTCATTGTCAGTTGTGAAATGTTCTCGACAAGGCGATATGAATTAAGAAAAGTTGTACTTTTCGACATCTTTGGAAGCAGTTAAGTACGAAAACGAAAAAGAATTAATAACAAAATTCGTATATATTTTATACTAGAAATAGGGCGAAAATTAAAACAGGCACTGTTTAACAATTTATATTTATTATCATTTTAAAAAAGGCCTTACAATTTATTTAAATAAAGTAATAATATTAATTCAAGTTTAACTATGTCAACATAACTTAAAGACATAAATAATCTCAGAGTAAAGTTACTAATGATTCATTTATTTACCTTTTTGTTCAGAAAAAGGTCCAAAAATGTATTTAAATGAAGTCAAAATAATTTAACAGTTCATTACAGACTTGAATTTTATTTTAATTACTATCAGAATTTGATATCTTGATTATTCTTGAGATTTTCCCCCAAAAAAATGGGGGGTCGGTTTCGGACCACCCATTTTGAAAAAGTTAAAAACGCAAATTTTCGCTTTTTCTTTAGATCTTTTATTAATGACAATCAGAAACCTCGGCAACCGTCAGAAAACATTGAAAAATAGTTTCTTTACTCAAAAAAATTTTGACGAAGACAAAGAAACACATTTTTGGCACATTTTTAGCCTTTGCACTTTAGGGGGTCGGTATGGGACCACCCTCCCCTATTATTGATTTAGTTATTAAATTTTGTTAAATTGTTAAATAAATTTAATTTTGTCAATATAATCGAAACATTTGAATTTATTTTCAGCTCTACCGCTTTTTGGCTAGACGAACAAATTCGAAATTCAATAAAATAATTCTCAAGCGTCTATTCATGAGTAAAATTAATCGTCCACCGATTTCCTTGGCTCGTATTGTTCGATTCATGAAGAAACCAGGCAGGGAAAATTGCATCGCCGTTATTGTCGGTACCATCACTGACGATTCACGAATTTTCGACGTTCCAAAACTAACGGTACTCGAAAAATTTTCTTCACTTTTTTATATAAAAATTCTTTTACAAAATTTTTCTATGTAAAAATTTTATTTGCAGCAAAAATAATTTTATTTCTACCCAAATAATTCTAATTAAATAAAAGAATAATTTTCTCAAAAAGAAAAATTGGAGAAAATTCTTTTAAAAAATTTTCGTATACACTACCGTCGGGAATTATCGGTACGGCTGCACGCGCAGGGCCCAAAAACATACCAATCTTCAAATCACGATTTCTTTGTAAATACAAATGTCAGAAAATTAACAAATATACCAATCGAAAGATTATTAAATTCTACGATTAATGATATGCAACTGAAAATTTTAATAATTTATACAAAGCTTGCAGCAATCTACAAATTTGACAAAAAAAATTTTAAAATAAAATTTTTTTAGAAATTATTTCAACCCCTGCACATTTTTTAAAAATTGTAGGAAAAATTTGAAACTTATATAAGTGTAATCATTGAAATCTCATCTTTAATTTAAGACCAAAAGAGTTAAAAAATCTTATTCGGTTCGTGAGATATCATTATAAACGTCCGAGCATGTTTTTTGACAAATGCATTGAATTAGTCGATTTTGAACGTTTTTTGGATGAAAATGCTCGGCCGTTTATAACGATATCTCTCGAACCGAATAAGATTTTTTAACTCTTTTGGTCTTAAATTAAAGATGAGATTTCAATGATTACACTTATATAAGTTTCAAATTTTTCCTACAATTTTTAAAAAATGTGCAGGGGTTGAAATAATTTCCAAAAAAATTTTATTTTAAAAATTTTTTTGTCAAATTTGTAGATTGCTGCAAGCTTTGTATAAATTATTAAAATGTTCAGTTACATATCATTAATCGTAGAATTTAATAATCTTTCGAATGGTATATTTGTTAATTTTCTGACATTTGTATTTACAAAGAAATCGTGATTTGAAGATTGGTATGTTTTTGGGCCCTGCGCGTGCAGCCGTACCGATAATTCCCGACGGTAGTGTACGTATAAATTTTATTTCTTACAAAAAGAATTTTATTTATCAAATAATTTTAATTAAATAATTAAAGAATAGTTTTTACAAAGAAAATTGTTCTTTTTTTCGAAAAAAAATATGAGAAAATTATTTTTTCCAAATTCGTTGTTGAAAACTTTAGGAACTTTTTGTAATTGTTTATTATTAATTTTTCTATTAACTTTTAGGTGTGCGCTCTTCGCGTAACGGAAAAAGCGAGAGGCAGGATCCTTAAGGCCGGCGGTGAAATAATAACTTTCGATCAATTGGCATTGCGAGCACCAACTGGACGAAAAACAGTTTTAATGCAGGGTCGCCGTAATGCTCGCGAGGCAGTGAAACACTTTGGACTAGCTCCTGGTGTTCCACGTTCGCACACGAAACCACTCGTTCGTTCAAAGGGACGTAAATTCGAACGAGCCAGAGGCAGAAGAAAGAGTTGCGGCTACAAGAAGTAAACAGATCGCCAAGAAAAAAAAATAACCGAAAGAAAATTGAACAATTTTACGTATGTATAAGGTTTTCTATTATTGTCAACACATACACAGAGGAAATAAATATTAATACCCATTACAAATGCAAAGTGTCCTCCTTTCTTTTCTCAGAAAAAATGTCTACAATTTTTTGTACTTTAAGAAGATACAGGGTTGGTACGCAAACTGGAAACCTGGAAAACCTGGAAATGTCAGGGAATTTTTATCGAAATCCTGGAAAATTGTTGTTTTCTAAAGTTATTGTGTTTATTCTTGAAATCTAATTTCATTTAAATATTTTTAAATTAATTTAATTTTAAAAGAATCGCCTTTACAATTTTCATAAGTAGATGAATTTCAAAAGATTTTGATTTAAAATTTTGTAAAATTTCAATTTTAAATGAAATTTAATTAGAAATTAAAATTTAAAAAAAACTTCAAATGATTAAATATTTATTTAAAAATTAAGTTATTGATGTTTTCGAATAATTTTCGTTTTAAAAACCTGGAAAAGTCAGGGAATTTGAAAAGAGCAAAAGCATGGCAATATTAATTTTCTTGTGCGTTATAAATGTTAAAAAATATATTAATAATACATTCACAAACAAATGAGACATTTTAGACAATATTTTTTGGTTATTACCATGGTAACATCGACAAATGGGACACCCTCGGTAATTGGTACACTTGCCCTATAAACAAATCTTTCAACAATTATTTTTGAATCATTTTTCTATTTAAATTTTCGAAATAAACAATTAAAAAGATTTTGAATAATTAAAATTTTGTAAACTTTAATTGAAAATAATTAATTTTTTTCAATTTTTTATTTTGTTAGAAATTTTGAAGAATTTTAATTGAAAATTTTCAAAATAATTGAATTATCAAAAATTTAAATGAAAAATCTTTAAACGTAAATTTAAAAATCAAAATCAATGAAAATTAGCTTCTAATTTTTTAAAATTTAGTATTTTCAGTTCATTTAATTACATATTTTCGAAAATTCAAATACATACAAAAAATAATAACATTTTAGAATTATAAATTGGAGGTTTTTTATGTTGTGGCCTTTGGTCAAGAAATGAGAAATTTTATATTATGTCAGAAATTTAATTTAACTCCAAAATGCTATCACTATGCATTTCAGCATTTCACCATGAACATGGATCTTCAGGTCTACAATAGTAATACAACAATTATGACACATACAAAATACATGTTGGATTCTTAGGTTAGGTTACATACCATAATGATTTTTAGAGCAGAATTCTCCTTATTAAATAATTAAATTAATTTTATATAAAACAACAGTACTGCACGGAGAGAAAAAACAAGGCTTTTCCCCATGAAAAAATATGCATTTAACGCGTGAAAATTATCACAGTAAAAATGCAGGACGCTCACGGGTTTTCCCGGTGAGATTCTTGCAACGAGCTAAGGCCAATAGGGGCTAAGGCATGGCCTAACCGCTAAACGCAAGAAATTCATCGGGAAATCCGGTGAAACTCCTACCTGAAAAAGACATGAATTGAAGTCACAGGGAAAAGCCTTGTTTTTTCTATCCGTGTGGAGTTCCACATCTGAAATAATTTTGCATATAACCTCCAATTTATATATAAAGGTCTATAATATCTCAAAAATTTTAGAATTATTTTTAACATTTTGGAGAAAAATATTAGGTTCAAAATATTTAATTAAAATTCATCAAAAAATTAATTATCTAGTTTTTTTTAAATAATACAAAAATTCTTTTAAGAAATTCAATTGTTTTCCAAAAATTATATTAAAATATTTTTAAAAACTACCTACTAAATTCTTAGAATTTTTTTATCATAATTTTTTAAGATTTAATTATTTTCGAATAAAGCAAATGACGAACCTTACTTTTACTACACTGCTAAGGGGTTAACGAAGAACTTTCGGAAAATTATTTAAAGTAATTGATTAAGAGATGAAGTTTAGTTAAAAATTATAGAAAATAATTGAATTCAGGAAATAATAATAATAATAATAAAATAATTAAATAATAATTGTAATTTTTAGAAATTATTAAAATTCATAAATCTTACTCATTTTCCGTAAACTTTCATATTTTCCTGTAAACAAAATTTTGTCAGGGAAAATAATATTTTAATGTCAGTAAATTGTCAGGAAAATTGATAAACTGAAACTTGTGACCACCCTGATTTTTCTTCTCTAAAAAGAAGAAATTCTCCAAGAAGAAATTTTTTTCTTCTCTATTTATCTATTTTTCTTCTCTAAAAAGAAGAATTTCTCCAAAGAGAAATTTTTGTTCTTCGCTATTTATCTAGTAACGTATTTCTTTTCTAAAAAGAAAAATTTCTCCAAAAATATAATTATTATTTGAAATAAAATTAAACTTCTCGTTTTATTATTTGGAAAATATTTTTCCCGAGGGAAATATTTCTCGATTTATTAAAACGAAAGGACAATTTTCTTTTTACAGAAAAGCAAAATTTAATTGGAGGAGACATTGAAAAATTAGAGTTTTATGTTCTTTTGTATGTTTTGTACAACGTTCGCGGATGTTTGATATAATTTTCTTTCTAATTCCGTCATTCGTTGACGGACAACGTGTGTTATACCATTTTCCCCGACGACACAGGGAATCGAGAGAAATATCTCGTGACAAATATCGTAGTGACCCTGTAAAATGTTTACTGAATTAGTAAAAAATTTTAATTTAAAAGTCCATTTAAAAAGTAGGAAATAAAATCAAAGCTTTTATTTTATTAAATTCTAAAATTTTTTCTTTTATTGAGTGAAATTTATTATTTTATTTAATAAACTATTCTTTTATTAAATGATTTATTCTTTTATTAAATGAAATTTATTCTTTTAGTTAATAAAATAACTGAGACAATTTTATTAAATAAAATTTAGTCTTTTATTTAATAATAAATAAATATACCTGCATGAGGGTGGAAACTGTCTTTATTTGGAGAGTATTCCGAAGAATTGCACTTGTTATGTCAGCAACCGCAAGACCAACGGCAGTATTTGAATATCCTTTCAAGCATCTGACCGTCGATCCACTGGAAATTAATTAAAAAGCGTGGAATTTAGAACTGATGACAATTTTTAATTTTCTATTTATTTAATTTCAATTTTCTTTCTTTAATTTTCCAATTAATTTATTATTTACTATGACAACTATTATATAACTAAAAAACGGACTATTATTTGTTCTAATAATTATTTATTATAATTACTACAAGGAAAAAAAAAGTTCCCAGATATTTCAGGAATTATTTCCTAACTCTTGGATACGTGGTAACAGCTCTGAACTAGCGACGAACATTCAATGGTAATCAATGAATGTTTGAAAGAAATTCGGGAACTGTATTAGAAAAAGCTGTAAATAGTCCAATAGACTTTTTTTCATTACTTTCTCATGTAAAGTTCATGGCACTGGCCGCAACTGTTTCTGAAATTTTCGGGAACTCGTCAAGGAATCTTGGTGCGCAGAAACCCAGTGCGCACCAGTCTCAACAAGTCTCACAGTCAGTAAGACTTGCGTGCCTTATATATTTATTTTATGCTGAGGTATTTAACGTTCCTGTTTAGCTCAGCTGGATAAGACGCCGGACTTCTATTCTCGGGTACGCGAGTTCTGTTCCAGCCGCCGTCGATTTTTCTCTCATATGGTTTTTTCTATTTCAGAAACTTAATAAAAAATAAAAATTGTATGTGACCTTCAAGGATAAATGTGTGTGTGCGCACGTGTCAAGGAGGGGAAGTGGGAGGGGAGAAGCAGAATCCATTTTTTCTTGCATTCGCCTAAAGGCCTAAGCACAATAGATTCGCGAAAGTCGTTCGCGAACGCAAAGCATGAGTTAGAAAAGGACAGAGATATATTTGTGTCCTTGTCTATCTCATGCGTCTCGTTCGCGAACGACTTTCGCGAACCTATTGTGCGTTGGACTTTACTTTTCGATTTTCTTGAACAGTTCCCGACTTTTTCAAGAACAGTTTGCCGAGAAGCGGTGAAATAGGTATAATTTGTAGAGAAATAGTAAATTACATATTTAAACGAGGCAACCTTTAGTTCTCTGTGAACTACCCGCCGTATCCAAGAGTTAAGAACAAAGTTCCCGAATAATCTTCGAACTTTTTTTTCCGTGTATTATATAAAATATATATATATTAACTATTAATTAATTCTAAACTATTAAATTAATTCTACTAATTATTTCAATTAATTAATTTAATTCTACTGATTGAATTTTTGAATTATTACCATTTTACAACATCACTGAAGACGTCTTTCCAATTTTCTTCGTCCGTTTCTAATCCGATGTTTGGCAAAATATCACGAAATTGTACTCCCGCGATATTCACTCCAGACCACAAGGGAACTAATTGATTTTTAAAAATTATTTTTTTTGAATGATTTAATTTTAAAAATTAATTAATTTGTTGAAAGTCAATTTTAAAATTTGATTAATTTGTTGAAATTAAGTTTTAAAATTCGAATAATTCGTTGAAATTAAATTTTTTAATTTGTTGAAATTAAATTTAAAAAAATTGATTAATTTAATGAAAATTAAATTTTTAAACTTTACTAATTTGTTGAAAGTTGAAACAAAATTTTTGACGAAATATTAAAATAATTTTATATAATTAATAATTACGAATACCTTGACTGTCCCCATGTTCGCCAACAATATGTCCATGAACTGAGGAGGGAGCAACGCCAATTCTATCGGCAATCATGTAACGAAACCTGGCGCTATCTAGGTGCGTCCCACTTCCAATTACTTGATTAATTGGCAGACCACTCACCTTCCATGTTACCCACGATAAAATGTCAACTATCATTCACAATTTTTTTTCAATTTAAAAAAAAATCAATATTACAATTTATGGAAATAAAATAAAATATAATGAATTAATTAGATAATAGTAATTAATAAGTATTAAATTAGTAAATTAAAAAAATTAATTAATGTAATTGTAAGAAATAATACATTAGTAAATTAAAAAAATATAATTAATATCATTTATAATAATTATAATAAATTAGTAGATAAAAAAATGAAATTCTTTCTTTTCAATAAAATTTAACCTGGATTTGTAACGACAAGAAAAACAGCATTCGGACTATATTGAACTAAAGGTGGTATTATATTTTTGAGAATATCCGCATTTTTCTGCACCAAATCTAATCGACTTTCCTTCTTTTTTTGACGTGCACCGGCCGTTATTATTATCACCTTCGAATTACTTGTTACACAAAAATCTTAAGAAGAGCAAAAATTATTGTTTCTTTTTAATATTTTATTTCTAAGATTTAAAATTAGAAATTTTTATCAATTCCCACTTCTAAAGGAATTTATTCATAATTTTTCTATTATTAAAATCTAATTAATTATTTCATAGTTTTAATTTAAGTATTTAATTAATTAATATTTCACAATCTCAATTTTCGTAATCAATTAATATTTCATGGTTTTAATATTCATAAATTAATTAAATTTTTATGATTAAATTATCCCCAAGAAAAAAAAGAAAAATTCACCTGTATCGTAATCAATTCGTGGATTGTCGAGAAAAATTGAACCCTGACAGTAATCCATACCCTCGCCTTCTAATTTTTTTGGAAAAGCGTCCACCATCGCTAAATGATTCGTTATTCTCTGATAATTTTACAGACGGAAATTAATATTTTTTTTTATTAAATTTTCTAGATATGAATTTTGCAATTATTTCAAAACCTGAAAAAGAAGAGCATTGGCGCAAGCAATTCCCACCATTCCTGATCCAACGATTGTAACTTTATTTCGTGAATCTCGCACAGTTTCTGAGACATTGCAAACAAGTTCTTCCTTCAAACAAGGTTGAGGTCTGTTAAAAAATTATTATTATTATTATTATTATTATTTTATTAGATATATAAATAAAATTTAATGAATAAAAAAATAATTAATTACAATAGTAGATACATATTTGTAATTGTATTTCGAAAAAAATGAATTATAATGATAATTATTTTAAATAGTGGCCAAAATTAACAAACATATTTAAAATACAGTTTATTTTTAACTTATTTTTAATTAATTGAATATATTTTAAAATATTTAGAATAATAATAATTTTGATAATTTAATAATAAACTGAAAAATATTTTTTCGATTGGAAGTAAATTTTAAGTTTAAAATTTAATAATTTAATTAATAATTTTGTATTATCAGTTTAATAATTTATTTAGTAGTTGAATTCATACTTGAAAATATGTTTTCAATTACAATTATATTTTAAGTTTAATATTCAATAATTCATTTAATTAATTTAATAATTTATTTAGTAGGTAATATTTAGTAATTTAATAAACTCTGGTTCCTCTTCTCTTCTTCTTTACTCATTAATTAATTTTTTAATTTAATTATTAATTGTTTAATTTAATAATTAAAAAAAATGTATTTATAAACAATGTATTTAAAAAATAATTTCCAAAAATTTGCTTGACAAAATTTCTGATTAAAAAAAATATTAATTTTTTTTTAAATATATGAAAATAATTTCATATAATAATCTTTTATTTAATATATAAAATAAAACTTACGATAAATTTAATTTTTGAACATCTTGCTTTGAATCATTTTGTCCACCACAAGCTTTCGATGTGAAATTTCGTTTTTTACCAGCACCACCGAACACATCACCTAATATTGTTGCTGGATGTAAACGACGGAGACAGCATGTTGTTGAAAAATATTTTATTGATGACGAATTTTTTTTTATCAACTCTTCGGAAATTCGAAGTGCCGCAAGAAATAACATAATTTTTCTTTTATGAGAATTTACTCAATAATTTTGGCGTACACATTGCTCTCTCGAGAAGAAAAATAGAAAATTCCTTTTTCTCTCTCGCAGTGTAATAATGGATTTTATAAAAAAAATCATTTATGAATTTATTTCTTGTCAAAAAATGAAAAAGTCACTAACTTCAGTTTGACCTCTCTTTTTGACAAATATCATTTGTTATACAAATCCATGGTTACTGGAAATAAGGAATTTTTTTAAATACATGTAATATTTTTTTTTGTAATAGAATTGTATTTGCAATTTCCATAACAAATAATAATTTATTATTGTTTTATTATATTTTTTATTTCTTTTCAATTTTTTTCTGTTTTTAGTCTTCTTTTTATTTTTTCAATTTTTTTGAAATTAAATTATTTGAATAAAAATTACTTACTGCCTACTATTTAAATATTAAAAATAAAGAAAATAAATAAAAAAGGCAAGTTCTGCTTATAAATAAAAAATACTAATTTAAAATATTTAAATTAAAATTGTTATTTATTATTTTCTTTATTTTTTAAAAATAGTTTTGAATATAGAAAAGAAATTTGAACTAAAAAAATGTATTTATGAAAATTATTAAATAAAATTCATTTTTACGTGAGTGAAAAATTTTTTACACCGTTTGTGTAAATTTTACTAAAAGTTATAAATCAACGAAAAAAGTACTTTTTTCGTGAATGAAATAAAACACAAGTCAAATTTTGTACACAACGGATAATTTATTTCGATTACGAAGTATTCAAAAATAGGTAAAATTCAAACAATATTATTTTTCTGGTCACAGTGAAAAGTACAAATATTGATTCAGTAGTTTTTTTTCTGTACAAATATGTAGATTAATATCAACGGAGACATAATAATTTATAATACTGCACCACTGGTCAAATCGTAAATACAATTTTTTTTTCTCTATTCATTTATTTTTTCTTTTTACAATAATACTGTATTTTGGAAAATATCACTGAAAATACTCTACCTATAATGCCTTGAAAACGTTCATATATCAAAAATTTATTTCTTTTGCTATTGAAAAAAAAAATTGTTTAATTAGAAAATAATTCATTTCTATTAGTTTCAAATTAAAAATTTTTCAATTCGAAAAAAATTAATTTCTTTTAGTTTCAAATTAAAAAATTTTCTATTCGAAAAAAGTTAAGATTAGAAAAAAATTAATTTCTTTTAGTTTCAAATTAAAAATGTCTGTCCGAGGTTTGAAAAGTTTGTTATTAAAATTGTTTTTTGAATGTTCGATTCTATTGTAAAATTGAATTCTGTACATTATTAATTCAATTTATTAATTATTCAATTAGTGGAAAAAGTTTAATATACAAACATTTGACTGATTTGTAAAGAAAATGTAAAATTTACAAAGAAGGGGTAAGTGGGGGGGGGGGCGACAAATAAATAAAAAATGAAATTATTTTAAAAAAATGCGATGATTACTTATGAGGAGCTGTATCGAAGAACTCGCTCGACGCTCGAACAAAAGGGATAATACCAGTCAGGTAGCAGTGAACGACCCAGAGGTCCTCACTGCTACCTGACTGGTATTATCCCCTTTTTTCGAGCGTCGAGCGAGTTCTTCGATACAGTTCCTCATATTGGAACTTTTTTCAGAGATCCTGCTCTTGTAATACAATATTATTTTTATACTTTCTTTTTAAAGTCTTATATGCAGTCAGTGGATTTTTGGTAATAAAATAATAAATATTATAGATTTTTAAAAATTGAAAATGCTAGCATGCAATTATTTAAGTGAAATGATTTTTTTTAATGTCAACATTAAAATTTTAAATCCTTTTGAACGTCGTTCATTGTTTTTGAGGATTTATGAAGAAGTTCAGTTTCTTCGGTCGTTAATTTTTGTTTTACCACAAAAGTAACGCCATCCTCGCCAAGGGAACAAGGAAGTGAGAGAAACACCTCTTCCTTGACTCCATGAAGACCCTGTAATCATTTTTATTATTTTAAGGAATTAAAAAGTAAATTTATTTCAAATTGTTTGAATTTAATTGAAATAAAAAAATTACTTGAATTGTAATTAAAGTGGAAAAAATATAATTGGCGTTAATCGTAGTCGTTAAGGCACGTGAATTAGTGAGTGGAACCTTGAGGGTCAGTGGTTCGATTCCCAACGACCAAATTAAAATTTATTTTTAATTAAAATCGAAAAACTAATTGAATTTAATTAAAATGGAAAAACTATTTGAATTTAATGAAAATAGAAAAATTATTTGAATTAAAATAATTGAAAAATAAAAATTACTTTGATCATGGTGGACACGGCGTGAACTTGATTTGTATTTCTAAGCATGGCAGCGGCTAGATTTGAAACACTAAGACCAATCGCCCAAGAAGTGTATCCTTTGAGTTTTATCACTTCGTATGCACTTTGCACCACTTGCTTATGGAGTTCGTTCCATTTTTCTTCATCCTTATCTGTACCAATTTTCTCGTCCAGTTCGCGTAGTCTCACGCCAGCGACATTAACGCCAGACCAAACTGGAACTGTACAAAAAAAATTTTTATTTTTACAGTAAAAGGAAAAATTATTTCCTTCTTTAAAAAAAACAATAAAAAGCAATTTTTATTTCGACTTATAATAATTTTTTTTTTAATTTAATATTAATAAAGATCTTAAAATTTTTATTTTTTTCAGACCTGGTAACGACAAAGGCGAATGAAAATTGGTGAGTGGAAAATATTCTTTTTTTCTAATTTCGAAAAATTTATTAATTGTTCCTTTAATTTTCGTTTGTAATTAGCTTGGTTGCAAAAAAATTATTTTTTAAACCTACAATGCTCCTTTAATATCTGTCTGTAATTAAACTGAATAAAATAATAAATTGTATTAAAATAAAAGAAAATAAACGAAGACGGGGCCTAAAAATATAAACGAAAAGATAAAGAAAATAAATAGAAATAGAAAATAAATATATCTAAAAATATAAACAGTTAATAAATAAAATATGTAAATAAAACTAAAAATAGTAACAACAAATAAATAAAAATAAATAAATAGCCCTACAAATATAAATGAGGAGTAAGTTTTCGAAACCTTATAAATCCAAATTTTGGCATTTCGAGAAATTTAAACAAATGACAATTCTCACATAACCATTAAAATTAACTTTAATGTAGAAAAATTGTAATAAATTATTCATTTTTGAATATTTTTTCTATTTACAACGCTGTTTGTAATTAAACTCTATTGTAATGAGGGAATTTAAAGATTTTGGTAATAAATTTTTGTTTCTTAAATTGAACAATGATAAATCGATTCCGAAGGATTTTAATACTTTAAATATGTATTTATCTCAATTTTTTTGAAAAATGGATTTATCAATTTCTGAAAAATTGCTCCTCAAATAGTAAATGAATAAAAATTCACACAGCGTTTAGCATTAAATAATTAATTAATACTTTTAAAGGGTGTAAATTGCAAACCCGTGTAATGAGTAAATCAATAAATAAAAATAAAAAAATTAATTGAATTAAAAATATAATTAGAAAATAAATAAAAATGAAAAAAAATAGAACTAAAAATATAAGTATAGTAGTAAATGAATAAAATTAAATAAAAATAATAAAATACAAAATAAGTAAAAATTAATAAAATAAAAAAAAGAAGTAAAAATAAATAAACAATAAAAGAAGTAAACAATATATACTTTATATATATACCAATCGATCCATCTTGGTGCAAAGAATAAGATTTTCTTATACAGCAACATAATTTTGAATTAAATAAAAATAAATAAAAGTAATGAAAATAAAAAGTATTAATTAACTTTAATTTCTAAATCTAAATAAAATTGAAAAAAAATGATTTAAATTTGAAAATTTCCCAATTACCACTGGTATCGCCATGCTCGCCAATAATCCATCCATGACACGATGTGGGTGCAACGTTTAATTTTTGCGACAATAAAAATCGAAAGCGCGCTGAATCCAAATTCGTTCCACTGCCAATGACGCGATTTTTCGGTAGACCTGACAATTTCCATGCGACATAAGTGAGAATATCGACGGGATTCGAAACAATCAGGAGAATTGTATTTGGACTATATTTCACTAATTGAGGAATAATCCCCTTGAAAATGTCCGTATTACGTTGCACCAAACTCAAACGGGTTTCGCCCTCGTGTTGACGTGCACCGGCAGTTACAATGCACAACACTGAATTTGCACTCGCCGCATAATCAGTGCTCGCATTAATTTTTGCATTCTTCAAAAATGAACTCCCATGCTGGAGGTCCATCATTTCGCCCTTTAATTTATCGGCCATCACATCGACCAGGACAATTTCATTCGACACGTGCTGCATGAGAGAAAAAAAGGAAATTAATTTTATCCTAAGTTTTTTCTTTATTTTTTTACAATATTAATTTTGAATTTTTTTCTAGACAAAATTTTTTTTCATAAAAAAATTTTACCTGGAACAGTTATAAATTCTTTTTTATAAACAAATTTGTTTATTTTTATTTTTTGTAACTTACGTGGGACAGAATGCTAAAAGCACAGGCCATTCCAACTTGTCCGACTCCGACAATTGTTATTTTATTTTTACCAGTTGCAACTGGTTCTGTTACGGTGCTCAATAATTGCTCCTTTACTGACGCCATGATTCTGTAATTAAAAAAATTTTTTTTATTGCATTACGTCAAAATTTACTATTTTTTAATTTAAAAAAAACGAACATCGAAAAAATTATAGACCTGAAATTTCTTCGAATCATTTACTGCGGAAAAAATTCAAATTATATTACAGAGTCATTTTATATTTCTTTAGAAAATTTATTGTCAACTCTCAAACAAATAAATATACTTTGAATGGAAAAAAATTTAATTGACTAATTATATTATTTATTTAGGTACTTATTAATTTGTTAGTTTATTAATTAAATTAATTACAAAAATCAACTGATTCACCTTGGCTAGAATTTTGACAATCGATTATTTGTTTTAATTATTATTTTTTTAAAATGGCATTTAAAAAAGTGTAAAATTATTTTTGCCGCCAAAATTGGAAACTCCACCCCATGAATGACCTTCCGTAGGTTGTAAGGTCGAATATTCGTGCGCACGCGTCACCTTCAAAAGGTCGAAAAATGTCGATATATTCCCCATAGGAAAATTATTCATTTCCTTATTAATTGAATAAATATAATAAAAATAATAGCAAAAATATTTTAGTAGGTAAATAATTATGCTAATTAGTAATTATTCTTCAATAATAATAAAATTCATTTTTTATATTTAGATATTATACAATATAAATAATAATTATAATATAAATATAATTATTATAATATAAATAATAATAGCATAATTATTATATAAATTATAACATCATGATTATAATTTGCAATAAATAGGGATAATTAAAAATAATGTTAATAATAATAAAATACTAGCCAATACTAGTAATAACAATAATGTTAACAATAAAAAAAGAATTTTAGTAATATTGTCAATAATATAAATATTAATTACAATAAATTACAATAAAAGTAAAAATAAAAATGCAAAGTAATGATTGTACAAGATAAAATTATATTTTACATTAACATTAGACTGTCAGTATTATTTCAAAATAATTTTATTCCTATAAATAAATAAAAAATAAAAGAGAATAAAAAAAATTAAATAGCGTTAATAATAATCCTCTCCAAAAATTATTTTTTGGAATGTCTACGGCTTACCTAATTATAATAATAGACATTAATAATAATAAGTAATAAGTTAAAGGTAGTAAATAAAGTAATAAATTTCTAAAGTGAAAGAAAAATAAAAATAGTAATAAAATAATAATAATAATAGTAAAAATAAAAAATGCACACTCCTCGAAATTAAAATCAATTTTCTAATACCTCAAAGAAAATATTCTTGTATCGCTTCTGTACAGTTTAGCAGTAACCAAACGACTGAATACATTTCGAAAAGACGATTCTTTATTTAGATCCCGAAAACCCCCTCTTGACTTGATAGTAGAAAATCCTTAAAATGATTCAAATAAAACGTGCGCGTAAACGTGTTTTTCATATTGGATACAATTTGCTTTCTTCAATAACAATTTTTCCCGCTAGAGTATGCGTTATAGTTATACTTCCGGTCGGTCATATTCAATGTTTATACATGGTGAATTCTTGAATATGACCGACTATCATGGCGGACTGAGATTGCGCATTCTTCATTTCCTATTCGAGATAAAAAAGGTCTATTGAGAATATTCCTTTCTAAAAAAAGACATGGGATAAAAAAATCGAATGCACTCGAAAGTGTAACTCGAAAAGTATCGAAAAGATTAAGCATCGGTAATATGAATAGAAGGGCGAACTCATGTTTCCAAATGAAATTGTAGTACATTAAAAATTCACATATACTTAAGAGATGGAGCTGCAGTCTGAAATTATTCTTTTACTACTAAATAAATAATAATATAAATAATAAATAACATATAATTTGTAATTAAAAATATAATTAAATTAATAGAAAAATTTACACTTAAGCAAAAAAATATTTTAAGTAAAATAGAATTTTATTTAAAAAATTATTAAATTGAAAAAATTAACATTAAAACTTTTAAAAATTGAACAAAAATGAACATGAAATAGAAGCAACGAAGACGGCCGAAGGCCGTCTGAGGCGCTAGTTGATGATAATATACAATGTAATGAAAATTGTGATTTCAAATGGTTTTGAGGATTTAGTGAGAGATGACGCCACTGGTACCAAAAACCGGCTTCTTTCAATGATGAAAAAAAATATAATAACGTAGGTAAAGGAGAAGCACGTGTGTTTTAACAAATGTCAATTGTCAATTTTGTTCGAGTTCAACGTTCGCCGACCTGACATACATGCCGCTCATTAATCAAATTGAACGCGACATTTATACGTACGTTAGTCAATTTATTTTAAATCTCTTCCACTTTTAGATTTTTTTGTTCATTGATGATAAATTTGATAATTAATTAATTTTATAATTTGATATTTTGTGACATTTCATATTTATTATTGATATTAATAATCTAATGTCATTAGTGATGTAATTTTAATGATTCGTTATTAATTAATAGACTCAGGGAATTTTTAAATTTATTTATAACTTTTATTTTATTTTGTTACTATTTTTTTTGTTAATTTTTTATATTACTATTTATTTTTTATCATTAATTTTTTTACTATTATTTATTTTTTTATTATTAATTTTTTATACCACTATTTCTTTTTTTATTATTTCTTTTTTATTATTAATTTTGTTTATTATAATCATGTCCATTCTAAGTAGATACAAGAAAAGAAAAAAAAATATTTAAAAATTTAATTCGTTACAGAAAATCAAATATGTTTTTGTAATTAGAGAAAATCAATAAGAAATTACTATCAAGTAAAAACGTCAATAATGAAACATAATAATTATATAAATAGGAAGTCCGACTCAATATATAAGAATTTGGAAATTTAATCAATGAGAAAAAAATTTTTATAGACTATACGCTGATGTATAGATACAAAAAGAAAAATTTACAAAATGAACCAAAAGAGGGAACTTTTATTATTAATTATTGCAATTTATTATTAAATTATTAAAATTGGAAAAAATAAAAAAAATATCGATCATTTAAAAAAAATTAGTTGATGTAATTTGACGCAATATTAATTATTAGGGAAAAATGATGCAATAATAGAATTACAATATTAATTATAATATTAATACTATTAATACTATAATAATTAATATATTGATATACTTATTATTATTAATACATTGATATACTATAATAATTAATACTATTCAAATACTTTTTTTAGAAAAATATATTAAAAATAATTAAATAGAAATTTGTTACACAAATTATTTTTACATAATCGAAAAATACCAATTTTGTGATAAATAAAAAATTCAAGACAAAAATTATTGCGATAATAGTAATAATGATGATGAAAAAGAATAATATAACAGGTAATAATAATAAATAATAATATTTCTTTTTCCTATGATTATTATCATTGTTATTATTATTAATATTATTATTAATTTTTTATATTATTTTTATTACAATTATTAATGTATTACAGTAGGTTACTAATATGGTTATTAACATAACAATATAAATATTAAATTATAATAATTTAATTATTAATTTAGTCATTCATAATTAGTAAATATTAATTTAATAATTATTAATGAGTAAATACAATTTCAGTAACTATTATTGGTAAATATAATTTAGTTATATATAAGTAATTATTAATTTCAGTTCATAATTTAGTTATTATTAATTAGTAAACAGTGTGTTAGTAATTATAAATTAGTAAATATAATTTTAGTTTCTGTTAATTAGTAATAAATAAATAACTATTTATTTAGCAATTAATCATTTAGTAATTATTAATTATAATAAATATTAAGTACCTAATATTAGTAAATATTAAATTAGTAGTAATTATTAATTATTAATTACAAAATATTAAGTTAGTAATTATTAGTCTCCAAATATAATAAATAAATAATTAGCAAAAAATAAAAAAAAAGTTCTAGTCCACATTGCCGGCTTTATGCAAAATTTCTTCCCCTGTTGCAACAATAGAGGAGAAAACTACACACGAAATGAAAAATCGAATTTAAAAGGAAATATTATAAATGAAAATTGTGAAATTTAATTTATTCTCAAGAAAAATAATTAATTGGTGACAAATGTACCTTGTTCGTCTATCTGGAGGTTATATCGGTAAAATATTTTGACAATTTTTTCTCTAGATTATATTCGCTTATCACTGAAACCACACTTCACCTGTTAAACGTGAACTCACACTGAACTGCTTGCTCGCAACGGTTTGTGGAGGGTTAAGGTGACCTTGCTCTGTCTTGCTTCTACTTTTATAAATGTCGAAGCGACCTCTTTGGCGGGCGAAAATCTCATTGAAACTTGTATTCAAATCTTTAAATTCAAAAGTTTTTCTTTCCTTTCACAGGGATTTTTCAATAATTTTTTAATAGAAAAAATCAAAATAATTTGAATAATTTTATAATAATTAAAAATTCCTAAGGGCAAAAATAGTATTAGGAATAATTAATACAAAAAAAATGTGAAAATATTTTTGGGGATTTTTTTGAAGAGAGCGCTTGCGCAAAATAATGATGCAACTTTGTCGTCATTCACGTTTGAACCGTGTTGTGTGGCCATTGATCGAGTGCCGGTTTCCCATTTCTACGATATATTTACTTTTTACAATTTTACAAATTCAATTTTCCTGTAAAAAACATTATTTTGCTATTTTTCCATTTTATTGTTATTTTAATAAAAAATCTTCTAATCTTTTTTTTGGGAAAAATTTGATTTTGATATAAGGAAATAATTCCAGGGGATCTAAATTTAATTTATTAGGAAAATTTGTTCGGTAGGTCACTGTCAAAGGTGTAGCCATTCGTTTAGACATGAAAGTCACGCGCACTTGACAGAGGACACCGATTTCTAAATTAAACTTTTATCGAAAATTTTATAGTAGTACGGATGCTTTTCAAAAGCTTCAAGTGTTGATTTCTAAGAATTTAAATATTGGAATTTTATTGGCGAAGATATGAAAAATATTTTTTTTTTAATATAAAAATTAAAACTTTTTTGAAAATATATACAAACAGAAAAACTATATTAGAACAAAATAAATGTTTTTTATTTGTTTCAAATAAATTTTATTTGGTTCGAATCAATTTTGTTTATTTCAAATACATTTGATTTGGTACGAATCAATTTTATTTGTTTCAAATAAATTTAAATTTTATTGTGAATATAATTTTTTTAAAATAAAAATTCATTTCTTACATTCTCATCATAATAAGAAAATATTTTAAATAGTATTTTTTATTTTTAAATAGAGATTCTTGTTTGAAAATAAAAATTATACTTTCTAAACAAATATTCTATTTTTTAAATATAATTTCTCTGTTCTATATAAAAAATTCTCCTTTCTCTGAATATTCTCTGTTGTAAAATAAAAATATTTTTTTTTAAAACAAAATTTTTGTTTCAACAAAAATTCTCTTTATTAAAACAAAAATATTTGTTTCCCAAATAAAAACTTTTTTTCCCTTTTTATTTTTCAAATAATAGAAATTTTTTTATTACATTTGGTTTTATTTATTTCATTAAAATAATAGAAGGTTAGTGGGTTTGCCTTGGATTGTTTTCAATTTTTTTTTGTTCAAAAAATGTAACTTTTTATTCAAAATTTTTATTTTTTTACAAAATTATCCTTGACACTTAGGGGCCATTCATTAATTACGTAAGGGTTTTTAGGGGAGGGGGGGGGGTTGGAAAATCTCTACATGGCCTTATGTCAGGGGGGTGGGGGGGTCAAATCCATTCTTACGTGATATTTTATACTTAAAGTCGACATTCGCCCGGGAGCGAATTTATACACAGACTTCACTTAAACAATTAATTTGCTTAATTAATTAATCATTTTTAATATAAGAAATAAATAATAGAATTATTTATCGTATAGGATTAAAATTAACAAAAAATATTGGATTCATAGGCATATTGGATAGAAGAAATACCTGCTTTTTTTGTTTTTGATTTGCAATTGTATGTGTAAAAAATTAAGAAATTTTAGTTTGGGTCAATTTTTTGTCCAAGTCGTATTTTGTTCACAAAATTGTTTTAAACAAATTATGCTGAATAAATATGGTGTTTCATTCCAAGCAAAAGCAAATGGAAATTAAAAACAAAAAACAGGTAGGGGAGACTGGGGCGAAAGGTTAAATTTTGCATAAATTATTTTTTTAGACAATATAATACGCTTAGATGCAAATATTTATATATCAATATTGTAGGGCAACTTGTCTTCTACAACTTTCAATAAAAAAGTTTCTGATATTTTCGCATAAAATACATGTTTTGTCCTTTTTTAAAAAGTTAAATGGCTGGGGCTAAATGTTAAATTCTATTTTTAGCCTACTTAAACTATTTTTTGATAAGTGTTAATTAGTAGATAAGTTAAAGTATACGTAAACAAGTATTAACAAGTATAAACAAGTATAACAACCAATTTTGGTTTATTTCACGTGAGCGGTCTTGTTTTTTGACAGAGTACTTGCCTAATGTCAAATAAATAATTTTTAAACAAATAAACCCAAAAAAACGAAAACTAAAAAAAAATTTAACAACATGTAAGAATACATTTAACTTTTCGCCCCAGAGTGCGTTTTTGGCTTTAACACAAATATAAAAAAATCTGACTAAAGATATTTAGCAAATTCCTTTAAGTATCTCTTCAGGCGACCCAAATAATAAACTAAAAAAATCGCGGTGAGAATAAATGCAAAAAATATACTTAAAAGTTGATATTTTCTTTTACGAAAAAATTTTTAAAAGTAGGGTGAAAAAAAAATTTAAATATGGACACCACAAAAATGAACAGAATGTCACATAACTCCGGACATTTATTAAGGGTGATAATACCCTTTTATAAATAAAATTGCAATGCTCTAACTATTTCCGTTCAAAAGATAATGAATTTTAACTGTTTTGTCAGTTTAACCTTTCGCCCCAGTCTCCCCTATATAATAATTTTTACAATTTTCCTATGAATCTAATTGTTAATTTTACTTTAAATCAATTTGTTGATCCTTGGAATGAAACACCATTTATGCAACATAATTTGTTTAAAACAATTTTGTGAACAAAATACGACTTGGACAAAAAAATAATCCATACACTGAGAAAACTGGAGTATTGGACTAAACATCTGGAGGGACAAATCGTTGATATTTGAGAGTTAGCTATTCCTTATCCGGCGCGAAATAAATAAATATGACAACCTAACCCCTAAATTAAATACATAAAATGTCAGAAAAATAATATCGCGCGCATCAGATCGTACACATTTTCTGCGCAACTTTTAACCCTCAGATATAATGGGAGAGAATATACAAGTAGATTTCCATTATCAATTAAAAACTTATTTTAGAAGGACTATTTAACTCTCTTCATAAGCAAAGGAAACATACACTTTTCGAACCTCTGAATTTGACTCTCCAGTTTTCTCAGTGTAGGTACTAAAATTTCTTAATTTTTTGCACAGAATCGATTGGCGACAACAGTTTTTAAAAATAAAATGTTTTTATTAATTTGTTTCAAAAATTATTGTTAAAAAATTGGAAATTATAAACAAAAAACCTCTTTTTTCAAGTTTGCCTGTTAATCCAATTTTTAATTTTTTAATGCAATGATTAGTTTCTTCATAAGACTTAATGGGTTAAATATTGAAATTAATATTTTTTAGCATTTGTTACATCCCAAGCATCAGCCCATATTGGTCCAATATTGGGAGCCTTTATTGGACCGATGATTGGTCTCTTGGCTCCCAATATTGGACCGATATTGGACCGGTAAGAAATTTCTCACTGGGTATGAGGCATTTGTTAATTAAAATTGTTTAAATAATTTAAAGGTGTTATTTTATTGTTTTAACTGTAGAATAAAATATGTTAAAAGGTTTTATTAGTAAACTGCATCAAAAATAAAGAATTACCTATAAGATAAACAATTCTATTATTTATTTGTTTATTAAAAATGCTTAATTAATTAGGGTAAGTGTACCCAAGATGGCCGTTCCATCTTTTGAACGACTGTAAATAAAATTTAGGCGATTTTTGAAGAACAGATGAAATTTCGACTTTAAAAAAAGTGTCCCTAAACCGTTTTTAACGATATTTCATTATTCGACGCTTGTTAGGCAAGCTCGTGGTAAATTCTTACGTAAGAAGGGGGGGGGGGTCCGAGAAATCTTATGTATCCTTACATGGGGGAGGGGGGGTCAAAATTGCCTAAAATCGTCCTTACGTAATTAATGAATGGCCTCTTATTCTGGAATATTTTATTACAATTTAATCTGAAATTCAAGTAAAAAAAACAACTACCAAAATAAATGCACAAAATTTTTTTTAGAAACGGAAGTCTATAAAATTTATTAGGATAGAACAATTTTATTATTAAAATTTTCCAAATCTCTATTTGATGAAAATGAAAATATAATCAGTAGCGAAATTTTTCCCTCGCAATTTAAATAAAAAACAAATTTCCCTAAATCGTGATTTAACACTGTTTACATAAAGACTTATCTATCATCTAAATAAAGTTTATATATATATATATATATATACCTAATAACGTCATTCAATTTCTAAAAAGAAATAATTCTCTGTGAATATCCTGCAAGGAATAAGTCACATTGGGTAATAGAAAGTGATGCAAAATGCAAAATACATTTTGCACGACTTGATGAAATACAATGATGCAATGTGGATAGTGGTAGCTTTTCAGGAAGCGAGCACGTGGTTCAATAAAGGAGAGTCTACGTGCCGTGTGTCACTTTTTGAATTTTTGGATTTCTTCTTTTTCTAGGAACTTTCCCATACAAACTTACTTTTATTTTATATAACGTACATTTTATTGTAACTTTTATCTCAAGTTTCTTTTTTTGTTGAAAACACTAAAAAAAATTCAATTTTGGAGAAATTACAAATAATTGCAGAAATTCAATGACTTTCAAAAGTAATAAAATTCTTCTCATAAAATTATTATTATTATTATTATTATTATTATTATTTTTTTTTTGCTTAGGGACTTTTGGGAAATCTGCCTACAGATACCTCGGATTCCGCACTCCAAGGTTATGTGGGGTTGGTAAAATGAAACAAAAGGAAATATTAAAAAAAGAGATAAATAAATAAATGTTATAATAAATTTAATAAACTGGCGACCTACTACCAGCCCGACCCACTAAAACCCGTAACCCTTCTTCTGGAGCCCTTTACCCTCCCTCGGAACTGTCGTAAGACTTTAGCCTTCGAGGGT